TATGCGTTAGTGGCTAGTAATGTTATTAAATAAGGTTATCCGTGCTGGGCGAATCTTTACTCTCAGATACCGTTAGCTTCCTATCCATTCCCCAGGAAAACACTTACCTTATTCCATAATCATTTCAGAATGCTTTTAAAATGTCCATTAAGAAAGCCCATTTTATGTTTATGTGTATATGCCTGGCTGTGGGTGTGTGTGCAGGAGTAAGAAATGCTAGGAAAGCCCCTAGCTTAGTTACAAACGGTTGTAAGTCACCGTAGTGGGTACTAGGACCTGAACCCGGGTCCTCTGGAAGAGCAGTAAGTGCTCTTAACTGCTGAGCCGTCTCTCCAGGCTCCCTGTTGAGTCTTAAACGATTTGTTTGAGCTGTTTGCTCTGGAGATAACTATTGAACACGACATAATCAAGAGGACATCCTGGGAGGCGCTCAGAACTCATCCCCGCTGCATGGGCTCAGTGTCCTTGGATACCACGAACTGGAAGTGGTAAGAACAGGAAAGAAAATACTGACACTTGAGGGTTAACTACTGCAGGTTGAAACCCCAAGTTTTTTAGAGTCAGTAGAGAGATGGCTCAGCCTACGAGCACTTGTTGCTCTTGCAGAGGCCCGGGTTTGGTTCCCAGCATCCAGTTCAGGAGAGTTCAACAATCTCTTCTGACCTCTGAGGGCACAGGCAAAGCATGCACGCGCATGCGTGTACACACAGACTAAAAATAAGTCTTGTAAAAAATTCACACTCTGTTCTTTTTAACAACAGTTCAATTAAATTGAAACCCAGAAGTTGGAAGCTAACTTTTGAAATGCAACCTGCTCTTTGATATTATCACTTGCTAATATTATTTGGTGTTAGCTCTTTAAGTGCGAAGGTTGTCCTTCGTGTGACGGCACCAGATGGAGTGGTCTTGCTGTGGTCTAATTAGACTACACAACAGAGTGGGAAATCCAGAGATGGAAATAAAAAGAACCCAGGGTGGGCGATAAAAATTAGTAAGTGAAAGCTATGAAGCCACGGAGAGAAAATAAGGGAAGCTTAAAAGATGCCTAAAAGCTGGAAGAGTTTGTGTCTACCTTAAGTCACAAGCACAGGGTTTCCCATCCATCCCTATGGCATACATTGAGGAGAAGCAAAGGCAGCGGCCGGGCGGGGCATGCCTGAAATCCCAGCACTTGGACGCTAGACTAGAGGGTTGGGAGCCTCAGTTTGTGCTGGGTGATAAGGGTGCTTGCACCGCATCCATGAGGCCCGAGGATGGCTCTCCACAACAGTGGGGGTAAGGAACACAGGAAATTGTTTAGACTTTAGGATAGGTTTAGCAAAAGTGAAGACACCCTTAGATGAATGAAATTGGAGAGTTTTGCAAGACTTTGTGGGAGAAGAGTCTCCTTGCCTTTTAGCACTGAGGATGGGGGCTGAAGCCTGGTAAAAGCTGCTCGGGTCCCCTGTCATAGCACAAGGACACAACTGTGAGCATCGTGGGGACACCCACTGGGTATAACACTCAGACTTCTCAGCCTTGAGTAGATGCTCTGGAGCCAGCTAACCGTAAACGATGTATTCAGGGTGTGAATCAGGCATTTGCTCTTAACCTGCACAAACTAAGTTTCAGGTGATCGTGATATATGGCAGAATTAAGAACTTCAGATTAGCGCCTGTGAAGGGATGATAAATTGCCACTATTGGGAACCTCTAATGAAAGAATGAATTTGAAGAATCATTTTATTAAAACACATTAAGAATTTGTGTCTGATGCGTCCTGTGAACATTTAGAGTCTGTTTTAAACAAATGAGTTATTTTTTATAATCCAATGGACAGATTACTATAAACTCGGTAATAAGGAACTGACAGGTTTGGGCAGTGTAATCAAGTCTTCATTTGCGTTTTTCTAGTGTTTCTATGTTTCAGAGATGGGTTCTGAAATACTAACCTGAGTTCCTCATTTGCGAGGGCTAGGGAGGTGGATCGCTGGTTAAGAGTTACCTCGGGAGCTGAGGAGCGTGGGTTTGATCTCTGGAGCCTATGTGAAGGGCAGGATTCCTTGCTCTGAATCTGTATCCTAGTACTCTACTGCAAGGTTGGAGGTGGAGAAGATGGGAGAATCACCTTGAAGCTTCTGAGCTGTCTAATTCGCAGTACGCATCAAGGGAGACTGCTGCATGGTTTTATGTCAGCTTGATACAAGCTAATAAAGTCGTGGGAGGAGGGAACCGTAATTGAGAAAATGCCTCCATAAGATCCGGTTGGACGCAAGGCTGAGAAGCATTTTCTTATGTAGTGATTGAGGGGGAGAGCTCAGCCTGTTGTGGGTGGGGCCATCCATAGGCTGGTGGTCCCGGGTTCTGTCAGTAAGCAGGCTGAGCAAGCCGTGGGAGCAAGCCAGTAAGCAGCTCTCCTCAATGGCCTGTGGCTTCTGTCTCCTGGTTCCTGTCCTGACTTCCTCTGATGATGAACTATGACATGAAAGAGAAGCCCTTTCCTCCCCAAAGTTGCTTTTGGTGATGATGTATCATCACAGCAGTTGTGACCTGGGCTAAAACAGACCTTGCCTAAAAAAATGAGGCAGAAGCAGAGACCAGACTTAAGAGCTGTGTGTGCTCTTAAGTACACACACACACACACACACACACACGCACACACACACACACACACACACACACACACACACACAGTCATGGTATTTGTCTGAAAGTAATAAGGAGGTTGGAGGTACAAGAAGATTTTCTGGCCGGGCATTGGTGGCGCACGCCTTTAATCCCAGCCCTCAAGAGGCAGAGGTAGTCGAATCTCTGTGAATTTGAGGCCAGCCTCCAAAACAATACAGAGAAACACTGTCTCGAAAAACCAGGAAAAAAAAGATTTTCTGTCAGTTGATAACTTGTGGAGTGGTGAGTGACAGACACGTGGGGTTCACACTGTAATATTTTTGTTTCTCTACATGCTTATGGAAATTATCTTAATTATTCAAAGTATACACTTGGGGACCTAGAAATATGCTTCTAAATAGTTGATGGCTTGTAGAAATCACAATAGAAGAAGGCATCTGACAAATAGTGAAGGATTCCGTTCCAAAATAAAGCAAGTGGGGTGTTAAAGTAAGTTTACTAACTTAATCCTCTGCAGAAGTAAATCTATCTAAACTAAGTAAATGTGACTGAAAAACTGAAGAAAGGAGGGGGGATACAGAAAATCTGGGTTGGGTGGACGTATAGGAGCAAGGGAAGGAAATAGAAATAAATTAACAGACCACTGTGTAGTCTGACAAATGCTCAGGTCTTCCTGAAATTTGGCCCTGTAAGAGAATGAATGGTCTGACTTTCCTTCTTTCAAAGTTGTTGGCACTGCTGACTTCTTAGAAGACAGGTAATTGAGAGAGAAGGTTAGGGCTCCTGTTTCCTGCCTTATCCTAATAGCTAGAATTTCTCCCTTGGAGGATAACTATTTATTATTCAACTGTTCTTTGTACTTGTTTACTGATTTTGTTGTGCTCCTGTGGTGACATACTGCTTTTCTTGTGGCTTTGACTGGTACCTGAAGGAAGGGTTTTTCTGGCTCAGTGTAAGCCATCAGTAGTGGGGAGGCTGCTGGAGAGATGGCCGTGACGGGGTGTGAGCTGCTTCTCCTACAGGCCGCCTCCTCCCTCCTTGTTCATCCAGTCTGGGCACCCAGCCTGTGAGTCGATGCCACCCACGATCGGCTTAGTTCCTCCCTCATCAGCTGAGCCTATCCGGAAGCAGCCTCACAGAGGCTCGTCTTCCAGCTTATTCCAAGATCCATCGACTTGGCAGATGACACTTAACTACTATGGGGATTGAACCCTGGGCCCTTCACAGACAGGCAAATGCTGGTGCCCTTGCAGCTAGCCCCGCAACCCAGGAAGGGTTATAGCTGGACAGTGGGAAGGCCTGGTCTGCTCAAGAAAGACGGTGGGGCATACAAGGAGCTTGCCTTGAAGCCAGAAGCTAGAGAGTGGTTTAATTTTGCTTTCTTTTTAATGGCCTTACAAAGCATCAGGCATCCTGTTGTTGAGAAGTGTTTCTTGTTACACTCTTGAAGAGATGCTATGATTGATAGGCCAAGGCAAGAGGTTTGGCTGGTAAGGCATTGCCACCAAACCTCATGAGCTGAATTTGATCCCTGGAATCACATTGTGGAAGAGAGAACAGACCCTTGCAAGTTGCCTTCTGATCCCCACAGGCCCACAGTGGCACACACAGAGACCGGTGCGTAAACAAATAAAAAGAGTCCCACTGGTACATAAACCGATCCAAATGGATCATATGGGTTCCATGACAAAATCTGGCTTTCCTGGCGATATGCCCAGGTTACAGTCATGAGACCCACTTGCTTACGGGTTCACTGGGAAGGGGCACACACTGGGTCACTGCTGCACATGTGCTCTCTGTAGATGCGTTAATAGTCACGGGTTATTTTGTCACGTGCGTTCTCTTCAAAAAGTGGTCTTTGAGCTGTTGGTGGGATTCCTAACCTTTGTAGAAAGTCTCTGCGGCTTTGATGTTAATGGCTGTGCGTGCATGTCCACACAGTCTGTATGGAAGTCAGGGACAACTTTTTTGGCATCAGTTCTCCTTCTGTTTTGAGACAGTCTCTCACTGTGTCCTTAGATTACCCAGCCCACTGGAAGATTCCTGGAGGTTCTCCTGCCTCTGCCTCCTGTCTCACAACAGCAGTGCTGGGATTGCAGCTGTGTGCCATTCCATCCGGGTTTACGTGTGGCCAATACTTTCGTCTGCTGAGCTCCTCATCGACCCCTCTAACTGTATTTGTACTGCCACTCTGGCATATGCTTGATTCCTAGTCTCTGGTGCTCTGCAAGTTCCATTTGTCTCAGGACTTCTGTAAGTTGTGAAGGCAGCAGCGAGTGGAAGCCATCCCACCGCCCATGCCCTGGCTTCTGAGGGATGTCCGGCAGGCCGTCTGTGCTCTTGCATACCTAGCTATCCTCTGGTTTCTCAGGACGCATCTTTGTTTCATTTCAGCCATGAACCAGAGAATTACTCAGAGCGCTCCAGTGAAGCAACCGCCGCCCTTGGCTCCCCAGAGCCCACAGGGAGGCGTCCTGGGTGGTGGCAACTCCAGCCAGCAGCAGCAGATGCAGCTGCAGCAGCTGCAGATGGAGAAGGAGAGACTGCGGTTGAAGCAGCAAGAATTACTGCGGCAGGTGAGGCCACAGGTTAGAGTCCAGCCTTTGTCTTTGCATGCCCACAGAGTCGGAGCTTTTTGTCTTAGCTTTGGCTAGGGGAGAGTTGGCTTCAGGGAGGTCGGGTCTGTCTGGCCCGTCCTTCTCCTCTTCCTTAACTCATGGTCACACCTGATGAAGAGCTGTGTTAGCCAGAGAGTGGTGGCACATGCCTCTCACCTAGCACGGTGCAAAAAGGTCAGGACTTCAAGACCAGCCCGAGCTTCATGAGACCCAGTCTCAAAGCAAACAAACAAAATAAGGAATGAAAACTATGTTTGGGCCACAGTCATTGCAGTTGAACAGAAATCAAAGGAAGCCAAGATGCTTCTCACAGGGACACATGCCACAGCTCTCGTGGTTCCGGGAGCTCTGCAAGCAGATGAACTCTGGGCCATCCCTGGGGAACACGTCCTCTACCTTAAATGAATTCTCTCTAGAGAGTGTACCGGTGTGATAAGTGTTTCGGTATTGCTAAAGCAAAGAAGTCCAGACGATACACTTGCCCCAAGTGTAGATGCCACATGTCTTTGGTGTGTTGTTTTCCTGTTGAGGGGCAGGAGGACCTGACAGTGGGGAGCTTGAGTGAGGCCCTTCCTTTCAGAACACACTGTTGGTCTTCAGGCTGAGGAAGAAGCCATTTCCTTAAAACAAGTTTGGGACTGAGGCGTAGTCCAGTGAAAGAGCATTTGCCTAGCGTGTCTGAGTCCCTGGGTTCCCCAAGCCCCCAGCCCCGCCCAGTCATTTTGTTTGTTGTGTTTATCTTATTTCAAGTATTTAAGATATTTCTGATAGTGGGGAATTGGTCTTTGGTTAAGCGTTAGATCTTTTTAAATTTTGTATATGAAATCATTGAATAGATTGTAACACAGTACAGCAGTCAGGAGTGTACAAAAGGAGAACACTTGGAAACAAAATCTCCTTTACCCAGATTTTCTAGTTTTCTTTTGGTTGTAAATAACCAGGTTTCTTGTTTATCCTCAATCCCCACCCCCAAGATGTTTACAAACATAGAATAGTTTCTGTTCTTCCAAATCATAGCTACTGTGCATATTTAAAATCAGTCTTACATTGCACTTCTGTAAGTTGAGCAGTGGAATCTCAGACAGACTCACTCTAAAACTAGTGCTGCTCATTTATAATGTGTCTCCATGATCCAGGTATGGTTTGCAACGTTTGTGCCATCGCATGATGGGGGAGTGGACCTGAAAACCCATCTATAAAAGATGCACAGGGGGCCGCATCCTCATGGGGGACGCCCCTTTCGCCCCCTCACGGAGACAAAGGAAGGGTATTTTTTCCAGTCAAATAAAAGACTGAGAACATGATGGCGTAGCAAGGATTTCAGTGTGTGCCTGCTAGAAGAAATAAAAAATAAAGCCTGATCTGTTGTCTTTATTCTTTTGTGACCAAGTACTAATTGGTCAAAATAAATGCGAGTCTCAATTTCACATCCATGTGGGCTACCAAAAATAAACTTTCATAATAAGAAACTCAGTTAATTTATAATGTCAGTGTCTTCTGTTTTTTGGTGTTTTGTTTTGTTTTCATTTTTAAAGTCAAGAAATGTACCGTTGTCGCTCTTTTGTATTAATCAATTAGCCTGGTTTTCTTGGTGGACCAATTCTGCTACTTTTGTTATCCTTCTAAATTTTTCTATCTATCTGTTCTTGGGTGGTGGGTCCTGGACACAATGGCCCTCTCCTTTAGAGGTGACCTCTGCTTCTTTTCTCCGCTACCTACTGTTGCCTCGTGTTGGGGGGGCCGATCTCTGTTCTGACGCTAATGGACTGTTGTGTTTAGCAGTCTGTAAATTGTGAGTACATCTTAAGACCTCTGGCTTCTCGCGAACTTCCATCCACAGCTGTCTTATCGCTGAAACATTGAAAGTTGTTTCTTCCCACTTCATCTAACACAGAAGCAAAGAGCCTACCTGACCGTTACTAAATTTGCCTTTGTCTTGGCATCCAGTCCTGCTGTCTGTCCTCAGTGCTGCTAGACTGGGAGGGGCAGTCTGTTCCGTGGTGACTTCACTGGCTCCTGTCCTCCTTAGCCTGCTGCTTCTTGGGTAGCTTGGGAATTCTGTGCTATGGTGAGATGTCTGGATACAGTTTTTATAAGTCAGCCTACACAGCCAAACCATGTGGCTTAAAGTAATTTTTATCCGTCTTATTTTTTACTCTTAGGCAATACGGAATATCAATCCCAGCACAGCAAATGCTCCAAAATGTCAGGTAGGCTCTTATATGATGTTTTAGCATTGGGGATAAAGATAACTAAATTAGGAAAGAGAGACACCGTGTTCCTGGCCCTGTCCTCACTGGAGATAAGCCAGAGTGGATATGTTTGAGTCATCTTTCTCCAGGACACATAGCATCGCTTTTCCAAGGGACTGAGGACTGTCTACCCGTGCCGGTCTTCCAGGGTGTGTGTGTGGTTTTGGAGAGTCTCAGGACTTCCCAGTTCACGCACAGTGTGTCTCAGTAATCATTCTACCAGTCTCCAAATGTGTATGATTTTTGTTTGAGCTGCTTAAAATAAATTTTTGTCTTTTTTTTTTCCTTAAAAGAATCGGTGAATTGAGCTGTAGCAGAGCAAGCAGCTAGTTTATATACTTGCAGGCTGTTTTTGGAAATCACAGTGAGTAAGGGTTTTTCTCGGTGGCCCCTCTGAAGGGAGGGCCTTGTAAATGTCAGAGTTCTCGGGAAATTGAGCTCTGTCCAGTTGGTGTTTCAGGTCTCTTTCTCCCTGATGAGCTCCAGGGCCCACTGGTCACAGAAACACCCCCATATTGCTGTGGCTGCTCTGACACCTGACAGACTCCTGTCTGAGCACGGGAATCCGAGGTGGTCCCTCCCTGTTTCTGCTCTGTAATGCTCAAGTAATTAGCAAGTAGTGATTAGAGGGTCCGTGTGCCTTGTGAGCGGAAGCAGCCGTAGGACGTGCCCCCCTTCCTCTCTCCCCTTGTCCCACCCCCCACTCTTTCAAGGTATCACTGTATAATAACTCAGGCTGACTGCAGGTTTTTTCAAGCTGCCCTGCCTCAGCCTCCCAAGTGCTAGGCTTGCTGTCAGACCCACAGATCTTAGGCTTTTTGGAGCTCCTCTGAGCTAAGCACAGGAAACGTAGTGTTTGGATTCAATGTAGAGCAGGGACTATCGGAATGATACTCTGCCAGGGTGGCCTGTAAAGTAAGATCAGATGCCATCCTCAGAGACCAATTGACTTTGTAAGAAAATAAGCTCTCACTTCAAATTTTGAGCTAGGCTGGCCTTAAACTCACAGATCTGCCTGCCTCTGCTTCCAAGTGCTGGGATTAAAGACATGCACCACCATGCCTGGTCTGAACTCTGTTCTCTTTATCTCATAAATGCATTCATTTAACCAAATCCCACGTAAGGGAGTGAAAAGCCACCAGAGTAGAGCAGTCACTCTCAAGATGCGGGGCACTATGCCACATCTGGCTTCGACGCGACATAGTGCTGGGTCTTAGAACCTGAAGTCAGTCTTGTCTCCTGTGCTTCTCTGAAACAGTGACTTGTTAGCGATTCCCAAGAGCCAGAGCTAATGCCTAAGATTGGCGTTCAGATCGTAAGTCCTGTAAGTCAGAAAGAAGTAGACGCTGCAGAGACTCCGGTGAATAAATGCTATCAGATCTTCATTCCAGACTTGAGTAGAAAACACTTGCTGCAGTAAAGTCACCAGGAGATACTTAACATCTTCCTTTCCTTTTTCTCTCTTTTTTTCTTTACTTCTATGTGCATTGATGTTTTGCCTGCATGGTGTCTGTGAGAAAGTAGATTTTGGAATTACAGACAGTTGTGAGATGCCTTGTGGGTGCTGGGATTTGAACCCAGGTCCCCTAGAAGAATAGTCGATGCCCTTTATCGCTCCAGGCCCCCCTCCCTTTTCTTAAATTATTTACCCTATGTGTAAGCTAGGGTGGCTATGAACTCTCATGGATGCCATGGCACCTAGCTTGAGCTGGGGCACAGCTCAGTGTCCACACACACTCAGAAAGGGGGAATGTAAATTTGTCTAATGTAGATTAAAAATATTGGAGAGATAAATTTTGAAAATACCACTCCACATGCTAAAGATTTAAAATAAAAGTTTTCTGTGGGCATGATTGTACAGATCTATGATCCCTGTACTTAGGAGGTGAAGACAGGAGATCAGGACTTCAGGGCCTACCTTGGCTACATAGTTAGAGACCCTTTCTGAAAACAAACAGTTGTTTGCTGACATATGTTTTACTTGTCAGCATACTGATGGTTGTCAAGACGTCAGTGTATTTGACTGCGGTGGTGGAGTCTATGGGGTTGAAGCTGGGGGGTGTTTCTCTCTTATCCTACATATTTTCTCCATGACCTAAGATCACCTATAGGAAAGAGATTATCATAAGGGTGTATGTAGCACAGCCAGTTTATTTAATCAGTGTTTTTGCGTGACCAGAGAGCCTTCGGAAATGATAGCCCTAAGATCCAGGGGAAGCAGTTTGATACTGCAGCTCAGTGAGCAATCAAAAGAAGGCTCAGCTGCCTCGGATCAGGACAGCTTCTGGAGTAAGGTCTCATAGCCCTGCAGTGGGCTTAGAGATCCCTTTCCTTGAAGAGTACGAGGAGGGTAATGTTTCTGGACTTTGGTTTGTGTTGTAGACGTTTTTGTTTGCCTTGACTCTCCTTGGAGAAAAGGAATTCTCAATCTGGCCTGCTTTTGGGGAGAGAGGGGGGGTGAGGAAGATGGGCAGGAGAGGGGCAGAAAGGGGCGTGGTTTCTGAGGGCCTGGGGCCTTCCCCTGTCCTTTGTTCCAGAGCATTCAGCTTTGCCAAAGCAGCATGCAACAGTGTCGGGCAAGACTCTGTTTTGGTTCTGAGGGCGGTTGTTTGTTTTTCCAGCGTTTCTCTGTGTCACCCTGGCTGTCCTAGAACCCTGTAGACAGAGCCTCCAGAGATCTCTTTGCCTCTGCCTCCCACGAGCCGGAGTTAAAAGTGTGCCCCACCAGGCAGGGCAGATCTTAGTGGAGGGTTACAAGAGAACCAGTCTCCAAGGACGTGGGAACCAGAAGCTCCACACTTGCAAACTGCACCAGGGCGTCAGTGGCCCCGGACTCCAGAACGTGCTGCATTGGTGGCTTGGTTTTGTGTTCAAACAGGGTCTTAACTCTGTAGGTCTGGCTGCCTTAGAACTTCCTGCTTTGACCATGCTGGCCTTGAACTAGAAACTTTCAGAATTCTGTCTTCTGAGTTATGGTATACCACCACTGTCAGTATTTTTAAATTACTGAAGTCAGAAACGTTTTTAGTTCTTTTGATGAGGTTAATCACGTCTGTGTTTGGGACTGTGTGACATTTGTACTTATGTCCCTGTGGGTTAATGAAAAACCTCAAGGTATGTAGTGGGAGTCATATCGAAAGAAGAAAGACTTTCGAGGCATTTTACATCTTCAATAATTAAATATGGAACTTGTCTTCATAATTTATTACAGTGTGTTCAGAGGATTCAGGGAAATTGTCCTTACGTAGATGCTAAGTTTTCATTTCCCTGATTCAAAAGAAACTGTACTCTGTGAACATCTATCAGCCCCATGTGCTAGCCAGATCTCTCACGTACACAAAGCAGTGCTGCTCTGTAACTGTGAGCCTCCTTGTGAGTACATCCTGGCTGTGTCACAGGTCTTTGGAGGAGACACATTGTGAGGAAGTTCTGTCTTGTGGGCATACTTTGTCCTCCCTCTCTGCTGAAAATGTGGTTCTGATTGTCCGATGTTCTCTCCTGCCTAATAGGCTCCCTGGCTCCTGGTGTGTGGTAAATGGTCCTTCATCAGGGAGATCCTTGCTCTGTCCCCTCCTCTCCTACCAATTAAAGCTCTTTTTCCTCTAAGGCCAGGTCTCACCCAGAGGTGTCCTCATCAGAATTGATGAAATACCCGATTTAAGTGGTCAAAAGTCAGTCTCGATCTTTATAGAAATGATATTGTCCGTGTTTTGTGACTGAATTAGACCAGTTCCCATTGTTGTAGTGCCTCAGAAGCTCTTTCTGTGAGCGCTAGTTTTGGAGACATTGGCTAGCTACACTAACACTTGATAGAAAAAAACACTCAGTGACCCAATATTTGTATACACAGCAGAATCACCTCGCTGTTCAAAAACATGTGAAAACAATTGCCACCGACATTTCTTCTCCGTGAATTTAGTAATAGCAAGGAATTTGGCTTTCCCCCAACCCAGAACTGTCTTTCAAGTTCCCTTTAACACTTTTTCCAGCATTATCTCTCTTCTCCTGAAAGTCCTAGTTTTTCATAAATCCTAGATTTACTTGACTGGTTTCTCCATGTTTTGTTGTATTTTTTTGGTAGGAATGGTAAAGAAAATCTTGTGTGAACATGGAAGGGGAACCCTAATCTTAGAGGTGTGTGCCTGTAATTGCAGAACTCGCCTTGAACCCCAGCACGCAGGAAATAGAGACAAGCAGGTTGCTGCAAGTCCAAGGCCAGCCTGGTCTGCATAATGAGTTCCGAGCCTTCCAGAGGTGTGGAGATTAGCCAGAATCCCCTCCCTCATGCCATTAATAGTTCACTTTGTTTGTTTTACTAACTAAACTGTCTTTTAGGGAGTGAAGCCATAGGTGCTTTCTGTTTTTTTCTTATTTGCTTTGAGCCCCAAGTTACAAAAGACCAGGCTCTAGAAATCTGTCAGAAGCAGTTTTGAGTCCCGGTGTGGTTCTCAGAACACTGCACTACGGATATGTGTGATGTTGCCTGTCAGAGCTGAGAAGTGTATAGTCCTCACAGTCACAATGGTCCCGCGTGTACTGCATACTTCTGTCAGTCAGAGTGTTGTTTCAGGTTTGAAAATAATATAGACGTCTACCAGGAAAGGGGGCTAGGACGTAGCTTAGTGGTAGAGCACCTGCCCACCCAGCCTGTCTGTAGTGCTAGACTCGATCCCTAACACCAGAATGTGAATGAAGGTGTTGTAGGCTAAATCTGTTAGAGACCATGCAGTCTTGGCTGCTGAGGAGGTGGGAGACTCTCAAGTTGAAGACTAGACCCTATCAGAATAAAGCGGTTGGGGACACATAATTCGTTGTTAGAATGAATTGCCTGGCATGCATGACTCCCAGGGTTCAGTCTTCAGTACTAGGAAACAAAACTTCTCTTCTCTTGCTTCGTGTTCCTGAGGATTGAACCCAAGACGTTGTATGTGATAGCCCAAAGCTAGGCTGCATTCCCT